CGTCGCACACTCCTAATTATTATGACTTATTGTAGTGTTGAGTTGATAACAATAACTTTAAAATAAAAAAAGAATAAAAAATAAAAAGATAAAAACATAATTTTTTATTTATATGACTATTTATTTTTATTAGATTTTTTAAATATTAATAATCATTAATTTAATTAAAATATTAATATTTAGTAATCTAAATATTAGTATTTTATTAATAATTTAATCATGAATATTTTATTTATAATTTAATCATTAATATTTTAAAATGTTAATATTTTATTTAATTTAAATATTATTGTGATTAATTGTTATTTTATATTATTTTAAAATATTAATAATTGATAATTTAACTATTAATATTTTACTTATAACTTAATCATTTATATCCTAAAATATTAATATTTTATTTAATTTAAACTATGATCAATTATTTTATTTTATATTTAAATATTAATAATTAATATTTTTAATAGTAATATTTTATTTATAATTTAGATATTAATATTTTAAAATATTAATATTTTATTTAATTTAAATATTATTGTGATCAATTATTTTATTTTATTTTTAAATATTAATAATTGATTTTTTATTTAAAATATTAATAATAGATAATTTAAATATTAATATTTTATTTTTAATTTAATCATTAATATTTTTAAAATATTGATATTTTATTTTATTTAAATATTATTATGATTAATTTTAATTTTATTTTATTTTATTTTTAAATATTAATAATTGGTAATTTATTTAATATATTAATAATTGATTATTTAATTATTAATATTTTATATATAATTTAAGTGATATTATGCTTATTTATTTTAAATTTATTTTTTTAAAATAGGAATAATTTATAATTTATTTTATTAATAATTGATAATTTAAATATTTAATATTTTATTTATAATTTAATTTTTAATATTTTAGACCATTAATATTTTATTTATAATTTAATATTGATATTTTATTAAAAGTTAGATAAGGGAGAAAAAGAGGAGAGACGGAGAAAAATAATATTTTATACAAATAGAGTTGTAATTTTTTAAACTTGTAAAAGGTATTTTGATCTTTATAATTTTTTGAATTTATTCGCTAACCATGTAATAGCTAATATAATGGAGAGGGTGGTATTAGCTATTCTTTAGTTTTGGAGGATTTTGAAAAATAGTCAATCCTATGAAATGGCTATTCCTTGAATTATTTCTCAACCAAATAAACGAATCAAAATTCTTCAAGAATAACCAAACATGCTATTAATGTTTGACGCTTGTTCTTCTTTTGATCTTGTGCTTTTCTAAATCTTTTTACATCATAAATTGGTGAAAACCTTCAATCTATACCTTGAAAGCCTTTTAGAGTCATTAGGGGTGCATTAAATGTAAAAACTAGCCATTTTTTGCTTCAAAAACACATTTAACAGTTACTAGGTACCAATTCCTGCCCTTGGTATTGATACTTTGAGCTGCGAGAAATTCAAATCTTGCAAGGAGGTATCAATGTTTACTTAGTAAGTATAGATACTTACAAGGCAATGGCATTTTGTTTAATCATGATCATATATTTTAAGTTGATTATGACACTTTTAACACATTTTGTGTTAAATGAAAAGTAAGAATAAGTATCATAATCCACGTAAATGTTAAGAACAATGATAAAGATAATAACTTAACACTTCTCATAAATGAATAAAACTTTTCATAATGGTTGCTATGTGAAAATAATCTTAACAAGTATAAATTTGAATCTTTTACTTCTATTGATGATAATTTATCATGTTTTTCTTAAATAACTAAAATCGAATATGTTATTCCATAATTTGAACACAATAATAAATTAAATCTTAAAATAAAATGTCAACGAAGGTTAAATTCAATAAGCATCTACTTTTAAATTTTCAATATTGACAGATGTAAGTTAAAATTCAAAAGTTTGTATTTTTCAAATTTGATAAAAATAAATAAATTTTAAATATATTTATTGATATTTAATTCTATATGTACATATTTATATTCATTTATAAAAAAATTAGAAAATTAAACCAACACTTTGAATAAGAAAATATATTCATTTATTGTTGAAAAAAATTATTCTGATGCATTATGCTTAAATTTAAAATAAAGATACAGATGCAAATGGAAAAATATTATATACTTTTAAACATTGAAGAGAAGCTTATCCAAAATCCAAACTCCAAATTAAAATTACTTAATTAAGGCAATAAAATCAGGTAATAAATTTATTCCTTAAAAAAAAAAGACTTAAATTTGATTCCTTCTAAATCATTCAAACCAACATATCGAGATTAAACTTGTTAACCATTCAAATTAACCTGCCAAAATGGAGCTCGATCCCAATTATCATCAAAATAGATTATTGAATTACGAGCAAAAGCTATAATTAGAAACCAAAAAAGTTTACTATAAGATAGTGATGCACTATAAAAGGAAATTGATTTTGCACTAACAAACAGTGCCTTCTGAATCCCGAAATTCAGAAGCGGGAAACGAAAAATATTTGTAAATGGCGCCCAAATTTATTCCTCAAAGAGAAACAATTTCAAAAATGTTCCAACTCGCTCCTCATTGGTTCATTCGAAACACACACGGATCGGCCCGAAATAATCTTCGACCGTCGATACGTTTCCAATCTAACGGCTCTCGTTCTCCACTGGCTCCACTCCAGCTCTTACAAAACCACCGCTATAAAATACACGAACATCCCATTATCCGCTCATCATCTCTAGTGAATTCCGATATCCAGATCGGTCTTACCAACTTCATTTCTTGAAGCGGTAGCGGGTGTTATCGGGGTTGGGTTGAACCAATGGATACTGGAGGAAAAGTAAAGAAGGGTGCTGGAGGAAGGAAGGGTGGCGGGCCAAAGAAGAAACCTGTTTCAAGGTCCGTTAAAGCTGGGCTCCAATTTCCCGTTGGAAGGATCGGGCGTTACTTGAAGAAAGGAAGGTACTCGGAGCGAGTCGGAACCGGAGCACCAGTTTACATGGCTGCCGTTCTTGAGTACTTAGCCGCTGAGGTAACTGAGAGTTAAATCATTCAATGACACATCCATTTGTTTGTTTTTTTTTTTGTTGAGAATAATTTTCAATTTTGATGGATTTAAATTTCGATTCAGGTTCTGGAATTGGCTGGAAACGCAGCGCGTGACAACAAGAAAAACAGGATCATCCCAAGGCACGTATTACTCGCAGTGAGGAACGATGAGGAACTTGGGAAGCTTCTCGCCGGCGTTACCATCGCCCACGGTGGCGTCTTGCCAAACATAAACCCTGTTCTTTTGCCAAAGAAGACTGACAAAGCCACAAAGGAACCCAAATCTCCATCGAAAGCCACCAAGTCTCCCAAGAAAGCTTAGTTCGATCAAGAAACTCCGATTTTTAGGCCTTCTTTTGTTCTTATTTAGTTGTATGTGATTACGGGGTCTTTAGGATTTTGCTTGTTAATGTTGATGTGTAGGTGGAAAACTGTTTCAAAGAAAATTTAAGATATTATTGTTAGATTCCCATTATCATGTATGTGATCCTCCTGGAAATGAAACTACTTGTTTCGTTACATGCTGTTTCAGTTCAGTTCGTTCCTCTGCTTTCTGGGACTTTTTTCAGTTGTTGGGTTGCACATGCTTGCATTTGGTCCTTTATTCCATTCAGCTTATCCCAGTGTGCCTTTATTCCTCGCTTTCTGTTCTTGGTATCTTTCTCTTTTTCTTCCTGTAATTAAGAATGAATTGGGGGAAAAACAAAGATTAAAACCTTCTGAAGCTGTTTCGTGTTAACAATGCAATAGTAATATTGAAAAAACAAAGACAAATTTAATGGTTTGGAGTTTGAGGCATTTGATTGGGTATTTTCCCATACGCGGTCGTTTAAGCTATTTCTACAGTCTTTAGCTAGGCCAATGCTTGGAGGAATAAAAAAAAAAAAGAAGAGGCTTTAACTTATGCCATTTGAAGCTTAGAGGGCCTATTTCATACATTCAACGTTTCAAATACAAGATAGGAACAGAAGGCCAATTTCACTTCCATCCAGTTGTTTTGGTTTCAATTTCTTAGGTAATCCATCACCATTCGATCTGAGATCTGCAGGTTTAACCAATGTCCCGCACTAGGGGCACCTTCTTTGCCTCTCAAACCACTCTGATATACAATCTGGGAAAACTTTCCCGCACTGATTTCTGAGCTTTTGCCCGCCGGCCGCCGCACTCACAGCGCTGAATAGCAAAAAGCATGCAGAGTTTAAACGGAGCCTTTCGTCTTTTTCGTACAATCCCATTGGCTGGGTCGCTTTCGGTTCGCAATTCTTGCTCCAAATTATTCGTTGGAGGTCTTGTAAAATTTTTTCTCCTCGTTTTTCTCTGTATCCAAACGGTGACATTTCTGGGCTCAAAAGAAAAAAAAAATTCCAAAAAGCGGTTATTTACTATTTTGCTTCAATGTTACTATTAGATATTGATTCGTGAAAAGTGTTGGTAATTGCAGGGCTGTCTTATGATACAAACGAGACTGTTTTGAAAGATGCTTTTGAGGAACATGGTGAAATCATTGAAGGTAATTTTCTCGGATTCTTATTTTCTTTGACGTATATTTGTGTCTTACGCCAGCAAAAACATGTTGAAATTTTAGCAGTTCGGGTTATTTGTCATCATGTGAGTGGGAAATCAAGAGGGTATGGATTTGTGCGGTTTGCTTCTGAAGCTGCAGCTGATGCTGCTCTTAAAGAAATGCATTCTCAGGTGAGGAAGTGATGAATTCATTAAATCAATTATTACCATTCGTTTTTCTATCTAATATATGAGCAATTTTGAGATTTTCATGTTGCATGTTATGTTTGTCTTTAGGTATTGGATGGTAGAAATATTCGTGTTGAGTATGCACACAAGGGATGATGGTTGATGTTTTTCGACACAGGTTTGATTTCTTTGATGTTTGTAGGTATTGATTTCAGTCAATTAATGTAGGACAACTTGATACTGTCAATGCCTTTCATATGTTTGATCAGTGAGAAACTTAGGGGCATGTCAAATATCTTTGATGGACAGTTCATTTGATTCACGAGATCTTTGTAACACATTTCAAATAAATCTCCTGAATCAAGATTTGAACCTACAACTAAATGGTTTTCTAAATCTAGTTTGTGTGCTGATTAAGCAAGTGAGCAGCTCAACCTTTGAACATACTTCAGTGAGTTGGTGAAGAGCCAATATCAAAGTGGCAGATCTTTGACACAGAACAATCCACTTCAAGGAATGTGCCCATGTGCATGGCCATAAATAATATATAAACTAGTCTCGGAAGGGGTGGACAATTAGCTATAGACAATGTCATGTACGTTTTTGACAATAAGTTATAGACAATGTCATGTACGTTTTTAAACAATTTTCATTTCAGCTACTTGTCAAGTCTTTTAGAGATAAATACAATTGCTTTTGTCTACGAGAGGTAGACTGTTGTAGATGGGGAGCCATTTTCTCTTTTTCCATTGGGTCATTGTGATTGAATTTGTTGTTAGAGAACAAGTTACATTGGCAGAGCTTATATGGTTGACATGTGATGTTTAACCAATCCATCACTAGGACCATCATGAAGGTGTTTTAGAATTATGGTATAAGCTGCATTTGGTAGGTGTAGGCTTCATTTAGTAGAGACTATTTACCCAGCTTGTGCGACTCAACCTTGTAATCCAGGAATTTGGTGTCAGTGGGATAGTTGTTGTCCTTACATCCTTGTGATTTCTGATGAATGGTTTTTGCTCGTCATCATCATTATCCTAGCAAATAGCAAGTGTCATTATTCTTTTTATTTTAAGTGGCTAGGAAGTAGATCATATTTAATGTGTCTCTATTTTGATTATGTACTGTAGGTAGCTCTGCTTGCCTCAAAAGTTTGACTGAATCTTGCACGCCATGTTGTGATGCAAAATGAGGATATTGATGCTGCCACCTCATGGACCGGTTAATTTGCGTTTGCAGGTCCAAATGCGAACAATGGATTTTTTTTCTGGAAACATTATAACTCAAGGGTTTCCATTTGGCATGGGATTGGGGGCATCGGTTTCTTGGGTCCAAAGGGATGAGTTTTCTTTCATGCCATAATGATCCCCAAAACTTGGAGTTGGCTTTCTGAGTAGAATGTTTGTAGCTTGCTGTGCACTAGTGACAAACTTGATGCAGCTTATTCAGGCAGGGGTAGTATGGATTAGGGAAATGGCAGCTTAAAAGCTAGTTCTTTCTTTTTATGTTTTCGAAATATTTGACTATTTGAAGTTGTATTATTTTAGCTCTGGCTATCCAAGTTGCAAGATTAGCTGAAAGAAATGCCATATTGGCAAATATGTTGGCCAGATGGATGTTCCCATATGAATAATAAACCTTGCCCTTCACACCCATATGAATAATAAACTTTGCAATTCCAATGTGAAAGGAGACACAAATGATAGCAGAAGAATAATCAATTTTTTAAGATGATAATAACAATAATAATGTTTTTATGGCAGGTTGAAAATATACTTTTGCTCATCACTGCTGTAGTTACATTCTCTAAATATTTTGTTCTCTAAGCACAGGGTAGGAAGATCTTATGTTACAAACTCTGGGTAAATGGAAAGTCTATCGAACGACGTATAGTGCCATTCTTTTCAGCAATCTGTATTATTTTCTGGACTTTTGACTCTGTCATTCTTGTCAGCTATCTGTATCATTCTTTGGACTTCGATTGTTTGCGAATTCAACAAAAATCAACCTTCCGCGCACAAACTGTGCAAAAAAAAAAACCAAAGAAAATAAAACAGGGTGCGCCTGGGAATTATTCAGACTGGTTAAAGCACTCTTCACTACACAAAACAAAACTAACACACCTACTCTAAAGCGGCACTAAGCAGAGTATTAATCAAATTTCGTTACCATAAGCAGAAATTTCTTACGGTATCACAACATATGCAGAACTATTTTACAGTAAATCAGGTTTTGTTTAACCCCACATTTACCCAACGTATCAGATGACAAAATCACCATCGCCACTAGTACTTAACTGTACTCGAAAATTCTGTCCAAAATTCTGAATTCCCAGATAATATTAGATGCAAAAAGAAGTGCAGTGATGGTGAATTTAAGAATTACCCTGCCATTCATGGCTTTCAATGCCTTCTGTGCCTCATTCTCGGTTTCAAATGTAACAAAACCAAATCCTTTAGGCCTTTGAGTTTTCGGATCTCTGATTAGTTTCGCTACACACACAAAAACAAGACAACACAATACAAGAACCGGTCAAACCGTATGATTTTCATAGAAAAGACAATCCAATACAAGAACCGGTCAAATGACTTCCATAGAAAAAAAAAGGAAAGATGAACAATTCAATACCTTCTTTAACAACACCGAACGGTGAAAATAAAGTTTTGAGATCTTGATGGGTTGTGAAAAATGATAACTCTGTGACAAAGAGGAAGAATTAATTCTTTAAAACAAAACCCAAATTAATTAGAAAGAAAAAGAAAAGTAAAAGGGAAAGAGAGAAGTAACAGTAACTGTTCACGAAGAGTTTGGAACCTAGCCTCTTTGCCATCTGAGGAAGAGATGAAGTGCAGCCGCTCTGTTTAAACTGTCAAGTGTTTGCTGCTGTCATAATCCCTCTCAAGTAGCGGCGGATGGAGAGTGGAGGTGGGGGTCGCGGATAAAATTAAACCTGTATAATTTTATTATTTTTAAATAAATTAAATGAATTAATTTAGAGTGGCATGAATTTTTATTTTTATTTTATATTAGCAACATATGAATTTATAAAGGAAATTGTAGTTATATTATTACAATGTATTTGTAATTGAAATGAATTTAGTAATTTATAAATTTGAAAACATAAAAACATGTCGGGTACTGTTTAGTTTATGATGCTTAATGTGAAAATTTAATATTAATTTTTTTATTTTTTGTTTATTGATAAATTTAAAAATTTATATTTAAATTATCAATAAAATTTTATATTATAATTTAATTTTATAAAAAAATAATTAATTTTTTTATTTTAATCATTGACTTCATTTATGACTGCCACTGTTTTAAAACGATAAGTTTATTAGAGAAACTTTGAATTTAGACAATCTTCTAACTATCGTTATATATTTTTTTTATTTGGTACTGAGAGCTTAATTGGTTTGATTTTTTTTAACTTAAAAATTATTATAAAACTCTTATGAAAGATAATAGTTCTTAAAATAAAATTAAAATTATTTGATAAATTTATTTTTATAAATATTTTTTATGAGTTTTAATTTTGATTAAAATTATAAAGGTATTTTTTTTAGGGATAATATTATGATTATTTTTAACAAATGGGGATATTTTTTAAATAAAAATAAAACTTCTCTTGTGTTTATAAAAGAAAGAAGAGAAAGCTCCTCCCTAAAGCTTTTGTTTAATTCTTTTTGTCAAATTTTGCTTAAAAAAATTATTTTTTTAAGAATTTTTTAAAATTTTTATTTAGTTTAGCTTTTGTTTTTAAGACGTAAATAAATTAAAAAAAAAATCAAACCAAACAAATACTAAGCTTTGTTTTCCCATATGATAGAGAATACTGATCTTTCAATGAATATGGTGCCACCAAATGAATTCATCATGCATAACCTGCAGTAAAACAATGCAGAAGCTTGCCTTTTTCCCTGCTTAAATGCTAGTCTATCAAAAACTGCTCTATATCTACTTCTAAAGGCAGCAACAACTCTAGAGTAGTGACTGCTGAAATGGCAATCTAGACATGAGCAAGTGACTCTTCGCAGAAAGTGTATGCTTATGGATTTTTTTTCTTTTCACTTCACAAATGCTCGGCTAACAACAATTGTTTTAGTTATAATTCGTTTCAATGCAAGAATCTCAAGCCAAATTCTAAAGATTAACAGCAATTGTTCACTACTAATCTCACATTTAGAGTCCTCAGTACTGACTGATGTGAAAAACCTTCTAAAAATTGCTAAACTAGCTGGAAAGTGGAAGGGAGAAGAGGCTAGAATCCTATGAATGAATTACATGTTTTATTCCTTACAATAATGATTGTCCAGGTCATTTCATTCCTTCACATATGGCTTCTCAGTGTCAGCACATAACATCTGCTTTCCATCCCAAAACAGCAGCTTCTTCCTGCACCAATGATTTCGAGTCAAAATCAACAGAAATTTATATACCAGTAGTTTTATTAGTGATGGAGTTCAACATTGGAAAAACTATTTACAGGTGGAGGAGAAATCTTCCTTCCCTTACTATTATGTTACAGCAATATAGAACATTGTCAACTACCTATCTGCATCACAAAGGAAGAAAAGAAAGTCAGACGAAGAAACAGAGTATACTCTGTTTATACTAACAAGAAGGGTATAAAATCACCATAATAACAATATCAGTAGCAGTAACCTTTCAGGGATTCAACTAAAAGAGATAACAGTAACAGTTCAAGAACATTAAACAGCAAGGTTCTCATTATCAAATAAAAATGATTAAACCAAAAAAAAAAGAAAAAGAAAAGCAAAACAATAACATCAAGAGTGAAGATAACCAAATTGGCATGGTTTATTAGGATTTTAGGCTGCATGTTTCTTTATGCAAGAAGTAAAGACATGCAAATGACTACATGTTAACTGGGAACATCGAAAGCCATGCAAGAACACCAAGAATAGTTCAAGTATCACTAAATTAAAAAAAAAAAAGATCTTCCCAATATCATTCTTGGTTTGCACAAGCAAAGAGTGATTCATTGGAACTTCAAAGAAGCGAAGGTGTGAAACTCTACGGAGTTTCCCAAATCCAGAACTTTTAAAACACATGGAATTATGAAAAAATATGAAAATCATGCAAACAAATGGAAGAAAGAGTTGTTACCTTGTAAATGTAGTTTTCCTTGGAGACAATGTGGATGCTGCGTTTGCGGCACACATAGAAACAAACATCTGGAATCGTATCAAACGTAGTTAAATTTGAGGATAAGAACTCCGATACTGCAACCTTGGATGATGAAAGGTCTTCCAGAAATGAACTCAAGATGATATATAGCTGTATTCAAGAAACAATAATGTTGAAACTTGAAATTCTGAAAAAAGTTTCTTAAGGCTCTTGATTCTTGTGTTGTTTATACCAGTTTTTGACCTTCTCGAATGAGTTTAATAGATGAAGTTTCTTGGGTTTACTTTGAGATGAAGAGAAGTTCGGTTGCGAATTGTCGTGCAATGGGTTCTAAAGAGGGCATATAAGAGCAAAGGAGACAGTGAAGGGACTCACAGTTTAGAAACACAAAAAAGGACAGGAAAGGAAAGGACTGAAATTTATCGTTGAATATAAAGGCTAAACATAGATAAAATCATGACCTTTAACCTCATGCAACTGCAGAATTAATGCATTAAGACCCTTGAGCTGGAGTCAGATGTCAATCCAATTTACAATATGTTTTCATTTATCACTGTTTAAGCTTTTAGCTGCATTTTTCCGGGTAGTCTCTTTCTGCTTTCATGTTCTCTACATAAAACTCATGAAACCATTTCCAATACGCCCTCTTCCTATCGCAAGAACCTCCCTCCTCAAAACCTACCTTCACAAGTTTATAATCTACTTTTGATTGTTGTCTTGGAAACCGTCTGCAATGGCAGAGTATTCATCCACCCGAGATTTCAACAATGGGCTCTTCACACAGCATCATACACACCATTCCACGAACTCGTTTCTACACATACCGTAACTTTGGAAACCAGCTCCTGTTCTCTGACCAACAGGTTACAAGGTAAAAACTCTGTTTGTCTCTCTCCATCTATCTATTGATCTATCTACACTCCTTCGTAAATTTTAAGTGATCTGAATCCCTTCGAAACCATATCTTTTACAACAATATCAAGAAAGCATAATTTTTTTAAGTTTTAAAAGATATGTTTTTAAAATTAAATTTTTTAAAATTTTAAATATTTTTAATAAAAAAAAATTAGATAAAATTAACTTTAATGAAACTTTTTCATATGTACTTAAAAAAATATTATTGCACGTCATATTAAAAACAGTAAAAAAATTTCTTATTATAAGTTCAATTTAAAAAAATCTTTTATTATAATTTTAATTACTTTTAGTCAATTTGTTATATAACTTGACAATAATATGTTTTAAAATATTTTAAACAAATTAAAATAGTTTTTATTTTCTCTATCTTGCCATTTAGATAAAAATTTTAAAATTAAATCTCGATTTTTCTCTTGTCAAATATTATCTATTTCACAATCCAATTCTTTTTCACCATCCCAAAGAGCAAAGATGACATTAAAGTATATGTTTTAGGATATTAGGTTTATTGGTTTATTCATAACCTACTGTATAACTTTGGCAACTTAAACATGCCTGCTAGTAGACAAATCAATTAGTTATTAGGTATTGCATTACAGGTTTTTATGTATTGTGTTATTAGTTTTTAGATATTGCGAGACTGATTTTTATACATTACGTGGCTTAATCACTGTGCCTCTGCTTTTAAGCATTGCATGGCTTAATTATTGCGTCTCTTGTTTTAGGCATTATGTGATTCGTTTTTAGGCATTGATTAATTGATTTTTAGGTAATGTCTAAGCCACCTAAAAATTAATCACCCAATACCTATTAACTAATCATGTAATGTTATATCAACTAGTCATGCAATACTTAAAAATTATTTATATAATACCTAAAAATTAGTTACATAATGCCTAGAACTTAGTAATGTAATGTCCAAAAATCAGTTATGTAATGTCTAAAAATTACCAAAACTACTGAATTTTATTTACCGAAATTAAAAACTTCAAACAATACACCATATTTCATTTAATAACATAATTAACAAATATACCTACTTGACGAAGAATACTTAAAATGCTCAAAAGTTTTTTTTTCATGCATTAAAAACCACTGCAAAATGCTCAAAGTGTTTAAAGGTTTTTCTTTATGGCAAAAAATTCTCCAAAATTAATGATCTAGTGAGGAATGCTCAAAGGATATGAGTTGGTTTGAGACGCGGACCTAACATTTAAATCGGTTTCATAATAGATAACTTTGTCCAAAATTAATTTTTTTGAGTAAAAATAGTTAAATTTATAAAAAGAGTTATTTTCAAAAATACTTTAAGTATGAGGGGTTCTTTTGAAAAGAATTCAAAAAGATTTTTTACACATTATGTTGAAAAAAAAATTATTATGCGTTATGTTGAAAAAAATTATTGCACGTCTGGTTTAAAAAAAATAATTATTGCATACCATTTTGAAAAAATGTTACCTTTACCTGCTATGTTCAAAATTTTGTTACACGTCTTGAAAAAACAATTGTTATATGTTATGTTGAAAAAAAAATTATTACACGTTTTGAAAATAAAATTGTTATACGTTATATTGAAAAAATATTATTGTTAAAATTATGTTGACAAAACAATTATTATACGTTATGTTGAAAAAAAAATTATTAAAAAAATATTACAATTATCTCCTAATGTCTCCATAGACAATTGTTTCCTCAGTAAATTTGTTTTTTTGGCTTCCTCTCAAATTCTAAACACTATTTTATTCCAAATAAAGCTATACTGTCAATAATGGAAAGTTGGGTTTCATTTAAAATGGAAGGTGTCAGAACAAGATCCTAATATGGAATGGGAATTGACTGATTTATGCTGACACAAAAGAGCCTGCTTATGACAAATGAATAATAAGAAAGGAAATCTATAGAAGCTTTCAAGTAAAAGCTTCAGTAAACATGCAAATTTTCGGAAGCAAAGGAATTCTTTTTTATTTTCTTTTTTCATTTTAGCTCTGATTTTTTTTGCATTGATTTTGACGATTCTTTAAGTAGTTAATACTTTGAATGGGGTTTAATTTACTATGTCAAAATTGTAAAAGTTGTGGTCTATTAGTAATTTGTTTGAAAATACCGCATACACAATACAGATAACCAACTTTTTATACAAGGCAAATAATTCCATTGACTATTTTGATGTGCTCTAAAATTGAATTTAACATCTCTTTGGCAAAACTTATAACTATATATTAAAGGAAGTCTCAAAAGACTCTTGGCTTGACACTTGGTAAGCTCTTTGCTTGACACTTGATATTTTATATGTGAGACGCATGACCTACTTAAAAGTGTTTTTGAGTTTTTGTGTTTTTGAGAAAGCTTGGTGGTCATTTCATCTCGCTTTTAATCTCCAAATGATTTTTTTTCTTTCCTTTCCCCCTTCTTTCTGCTGTTTCTTTGCTTTGTGTTGGATGGCTCTTTGTGGTCACGTGTCTAATTGATATAGGCATAGGCATGGCTTTTTGGTTTTTTTTCACTCTAGTGCTTCTACATTTTTTCCTTGCGCTCTAGGTTTTTCTCCTAGTCCTATCTTCAATTTTGTTGTCTCTGTCTTCTCTTCTTTAACTATTGTTTTTTTTATAATTTTATTTTATTTTTTTTATTTTAATATTTTTTTAATATAACATGTAATAATTATATTTTTTAATATAATATATGATAATTTCTTTTTACAACATAATATTTAACAATTAAATTTTTAATATGATCTGTAATAATCAATTTTTAATATAACATGTAATAATTAATTTATAATATGATATGTAACAATTATATTTTACACATAATTTTTTATCGTATGTAATAAACGTTTCATTCACCTGTCAACTTAACTCTTCATTGTAAGAAATCGAAACATTTGATCTTTGATTGTTATAATTGAAATGCTTAATCCTTAATTTAAAAAATACTTAAACCTTTAACCCCAATTTAAGTATTTAGCTAACAAAAAATTATGACAATCCATCCTATATAAAAATACAAAAAATTTATGAAGAATATTTCACAACAAGATCACATAAGAAAAAAAATTCGCATCATGGACCATTTTATAAACAAACCCAAACAATTTTGTCATCCCGAACCCTTTTGGTTTTTTCCTTCTCTCAGTTTAGTACCACACATGTACTTTGTAGCCAAATCCATAGTCAAGGTTCAGGAAAACTAACATTTGGCGGAAGTATGATGGAAAATGTGGATTTAATCCAACAATTATTCCACTAAAAAAAGTCATCGTTCATCTGTCCTGCACAAAACCTAAACCCTTCAATCATAAAAATGAAAAAGCCGCAAAATCTCTAGTGCTTTTCAATTTTCATCATTAGAATGCAG